CGTTTGTCTCGGCCTGAGAAGATAAGATGTTAAAGGCAATATGAGTCACTGTCACAAAATGTGAGGAGAGCTACGCACAGAAGCATCTTTGAAAATAAAGACAGGCCTCGATAGATGGCGTGAGCTCCAGCCGGACCGGACTAGTTGTTGCAGAGGCAACAGGGAAAACATTTCCCATCTGTGTTATCAGCCTGCTGCTCACCCATCCACCCATTTCCTCTCCGAGCACAACAAAACACCCAGCTCCCTCAAAGCCTCTCTGAAACTGTGATAGTAACATGTTTGTGTGTATTTTGTAAAAGCAACCACACATGTTTATTATACTCTGCTTCAAGAAAGGAAACAAATGTATGAATTTCCATCTAGTTTATTGATACAAAGCAGAAAATTGCAGCAAAATTTGCTTGATGAAACTTTGAACCCCGCTCACCCTTAAATCAGTGCCCTGCAATCACATACTGAATCTTTTGTTTTTGAGGCTGTTGATACCAATTTAGGTCACGTTGCGGCGACAGACTATAAAGACGCACAGAGCAGAATTGCAGTGCTGCAAGGCAAACTGGCATATTTTCGGCATCACCCAGTGACCTCCAGAGCTTCACTGAAGCCTTTAAGAAAAAGAAAAAAATGTTTCTTCCTTCACAGCTCAAAAGATTTTTTGTTTTCCTCTCCGCATGTGTCGGTTACTCACAGGGACAAAGAGGATTAATCATCTCCCGTCTAATTTCTCCTCAGAGCGGTCCATTTTGGTTAGAGGAGAAAAAGCATGTTTCTCTCGGTCTGGCCCGTGGAAAGTGGCGTTAGCATCATCAACGCACGCATGCTCACGCGACCTTTTAGGTGCAGTTTAAAGATGTGGTGGCACTGGATCATAGATATTTTTCTTAATTAGTGTTTAGTTTTGTCATTTTGAATGAAACGCTTGTCACCGGTCGGCTCGGTGTGCTTGGCTTACTGGTTCTGTCTCTTGCAGTTGGACCAGCTGGTGGTGGATGCTGCCAAAGAGAAGAGGGACATGGAGCAGAAGCACTCCACCATCCAACAAAAGGTGCAAACACACTCAAAATCTGGTGTTATTTATTTATTTATTTTGTTTCCCTCAATTTTGTGCAAAAATGTTTGCAGCACTTACTCACAAAAATAACCTTCAATCCACAGAATTAGCTGCACTAATGTGAATGAAAAGCACGAATGACAAGTGAAGGCGTCCAGGCTTATTGTTAGGGTAACTTATGTACAAATACGAACATTTGGGGGAAATGTATAAAAACACTTTGAGGTAGAGCCCTGTGATCGAGTGGTTACACTTACCTCTTGCCCTTTGCAGCTCTAATAGGCCTGCTGCGAATCTTGGTCAGTAAAATGGTTAGATTGGCTTTACAATTGGAGTTGGAGTCAATTTAAAAAAGTGAATTCTTCCCAAAACAACATTAATATGCTGGTTTATTTATAGAAACATGTTTATCATTTGAATGAATGGAGGTAGGACTCCACCCTCAGGTGTAAGGTGATCCCTGTGGAGCATCTAAGCCACACACCCGTGCAATATTGATAGCTTACGGAAACCCATTTCCAAACAAACAAGGTTTGGTTTCGGCGTCTCTGTCCAGAGTCATGCTTTTCATATTTCTCCTATAATTAGTAAATTTGGCAAAAGTAAAGATAAGCTTCTCAAATTAGATCTTTTTTTTTTCTTTTAAACTCTTTAGCTTTTAATCCTAGTATTTTCCTTGTTATTTGAAAGCATTTCCGATAGCAGAGTACAAACCCACAGCAGACAAAAACCTCGACAGGATGTGGGTTGTTATATTACATTATGTGGTGGCAGTAAATTTGCTCTTAACTTTAATTGAACATCCCACAGCATCATTAACTCCAGACAGCCTGTGTCCTTACCCTGCTGTTGTCTGCTGGGCTTCTGTTCATTTGTCTGCCTGTCAGTGACCTTCGTTTCAGTCTCTG